GTCTAGAAGAAGAGGGGGTCATAGGACATCGATCCTTTTCAGGACAGAATGTTATTGTTTTAGCAAAGAATTTTAGTCTTTCTAGACCCCAACATGACCTGTTGAGTAAGGGATTAACATTTATACCAACATTAAACATAGGCAGGGAACAAAAGGAGCAGCTACAGATGGATATGCAAACTTACCATCGTAAAATCAAATTGACAGCATTCTTTCAAAATTCAAAGACAAAACAGATTAAACCCTTTATGGGGACCTCAAAATGGTCTCCTCCATTAGAATCGTTACCCCTTGAGATTAAAAATTTAATTTATGAAGATTCAGACACATTAAAAAAGCACAAACAAGTCAAAGAGAAATGCAATTTATTTCCACAAGAAATCGAAGCATTAAGGGAATTAAAAAATACAAAACATATAGTGATTAAGCCGGCTGATAAGGGGACAGCCATTGTCATTTTGGATAGGGAACAATATATTCTGGAAGTCGAGAGACAATTAAATGACGCCAATTACTATAAAAAATTAGAGAAACCCATCTTTTGGGACACGATCCCTGTAGTTGATAAAATTTTAAATTCATTAAAAAACAAAAAATTCATAAATAAGAAACAATACAATTATCTAAAAGGGGATGCAGAACCCAGGGAAAGAAGATTTTATATCCTCCCGAAAATTCACAAAGAACCTGAAAAGTGGACGATTCCCTTTGAGTTACCTCCCGGAAGGCCAATAGTCTCGGATTGTGGGAGTGACACATATCATACAGCAGAGTTTTTGGATTACTATTTGAATCCGCTCTCAATAAAACATCCTGCCTATGTTAAAGATACTTACCATTTCATGGAGATAGTCAGGAGTTTGAGGATCCCTTCCAATTCTTTTTTGTTTTCTTTGGATGTTAATAGTTTGTACACTAACATTGATATTGAGGCTGGTTTAAGGTCCATAAAAAATGCTTTTGCTCAATATCCTGATACCAAAAGACCAGACAAAGAATTGTTACAACTTTTGGAAATTAATTTAACCAGAAACGATTTTATGTTCAATGGACAATTTTATTTGCAGATTAAGGGAACTGCCATGGGGAAAAGATTCGCCCCAGCATATGCCAACATTTTTATGGCTCAGTGGGAAAAGGAAGTGTTGAGCAAATGTGAGAAAAAACCGACACATTATCTGAGATATCTGGACGATATATGGGGAATTTGGGAGGGATCGGAGAGGGAATTTGAAGGATTTTTAGACATTTTGAATTCCCACGATCCATCGATTCAACTCAAGGCTGAGATTAATCAGGAGTCAATTAATTTTTTAGACACAACAGTATTTAAAGGACCAGATTTTGAAAATACACACCAACTGGAGTTTAAAGTCAGTTTCAAAAGTACAGATACACATGCTTTATTACACAAAAATAGTTTTCATCCAAAACATACCTTTCGGGGTCTTGTTAAATCGCAAATCCTTCGATTTAAACGGATTTGTTCACAGGAAAAACATTTTAAGGAAGCAACCAACATTCTTTTTGAGGCTCTACGTAAAAGAGGATATTCGAGATCCTTTTTACGGACAAGTTTGAAACAGTTTCTCGTGCGCAGAGAGAAAGATCAGAGAGAATTAATTCCACTCATTACTACGTACAGTTCAACAGGCAAAAATCTGAACAACAGGTGGAAAAACAATTTTCAAAATATTATCCAAAAAATCAACATGTTTCCAAATTTTAGGGTAATTTCAGCGTACAGAAGGAACAAAAATTTGAGAGATTTTTTAGTTAAAGCCAAATTACCATCTTTAACAACAGAAAAGCCGCAAATGTTAAACGAGCAATTTTCCCGTTTAAAATTTGTTAAAAACAATAAGGACAAAACAATTTTACAGATTTTGCAGAGCTTTAGCCCAAGATCTAAAAATTGCATTTATGTATTGTACTGTAGTCAATGTAAACTAAAATATGTTGGAGAAACCAAAAATACTTTGTCTACGCGCATGACGCAACATAGATACAACATAAAGAACAAGAAGGAACAAGATACACCGGTGGTGAAACATTTTTTATTACATGGATGGAGTTCGGTGAGGATAGCTGGTTTGGAGAGAAATATTCTTTGGTCAGACTGGGAACGGAAGAGGGCGGAAAGGAGATGGATCTATTGGTTGGGGACTAGAGAACCATTTGGTCTAAATAAAAAATCGAACTAACCAATTAGCCCTGGCCCCAACCCTAACCCTAACCCTAACCCTAGCCCTAACCCTAACCCTAACCCTAGTTCTGGCCCTAACCCTAACCCTAGCCCTAACCCTAACCCTAACCCTAACCCTAACCCTAGTCCTGGCCCTAACCCTAACCCTAACCCTAACCCTAGCCCTAACCCTAACCCTAACCCTAACCCTAACCCTAGCCCTAACCCTAACCCTAACCCTAGCCCTAACCCTAACCCTAACCCTAACCCTAACCCTAGGACAGTTAAAAATTAAATATATTAATTTTAAATAAATAAATAATTAATTAATAAAGAATACATAAATAAATACATTTTAATAAATACATGGGATACAGATCATTGTTGTATAGTAAAGGGTTAAAAGTAATTCATAGTTAAGGGCTTAAAATTTAAAATTTAAAAGAGCACATGATAATAAAATAACAAAATTCATTGTATTTATTTGCCAGAGACTATAAAAGGGAGCAGTGGGTTGGGCTTAATCATTTCCACTCAGAAGCTTGAAGAGAGAACATCTTTATAATTACCAGCCAGCATCTTTTGTTTTTCATTTCAGAGAGAGTTTTTTTTGTTGAAGTGAGGTGTGCCAGACCTGAAGAAGACCCACAACGGGTCGAAACGTCGTCGTGGGCACACAAATTTCATTTGTACATAGTTTATTGAGAAAAAAGTAAAAAAATAACAAAAAAATATAAAAATATTAAAAAAAACTTGATAAAAACTTTAAAAACATCAAAAAATATTTAAAAACAGTTTATTCATTTTATTTTTACATTTTGATTAAAACAATCAGCATTTTATTTTAAGAAAAGTTTAAATTTTAAAAGTTAAGTTTCCTTTGTTTATACAGATAGGTTTCCTTTTATAGGTAAAAATCAGTCTTTTATTTCTTTAAACAAACCAATATTAAAATAAATAAAACATTTCAATAGCCACTCCAACATGAGTGGCTACAATCAAGGCTGGACGGAAGTCAGATACGGCCGGAGGGCTCGACGTTTCCGCCAGCAGTCTTGGGATCGTAGGGACGGGTACGGATGGGGGAAGGCCAGCGCATTCCCCGCTCCTTATGGGAGACGGGACAGAGTCCCCTCACCTAACCCTAACCCTAACCCCTAACCCTAACCCTAACCCTAACCCCTAACCCTAACCCTAACCCTAACCCCTAACCCTAACCCTAACCCCTAACCCTAACCCTAACCCTAACCCTAACCCTAACGTGTGATTAGGGGCTCCAATGCCTAACCCTGACCCCTAATCACTAACCACCAACCCCTAATCACTAGCCCCTGACCCCTAACCACTGACCCCTAGCCCTAAACTAACGCCTAACCAGAATCTTAACCCTAACCCTAACCCTCGGGGATTAAATCTAACCCTAACCCTATCCCTAACCCTAACCCTAACCCTCGGGGATTAAATCTAACCCTAACCCTATCCCTAACCCTAACCCTAACCCTCGGGATCAAATCTAACCCTAACCCTTGCCCTAACCCTAACCCTAACCCCTGGATCTAGCCCTAGCCCTAACCCTAGCCCTAACCCTAACCCTGGCCTCTCTGGCCCTAGCCCTGACCCCTAACCCTAACCTTTAAAGGCTAATCATTTATTATAACTAATTCTTTTTGATTCATTATTAATTATTGGATTTCATAAGGGGCTAAAAATAGGGATGATTTCACATTAAAACCATAAATATTACAAATATATATCTCATCCAAAATTTAAAAAGGGAATTAGGGGCTAACATAATTACATCTATCTTAAAAAATTCAAATTCATTACAAATTCTAATTGGCAAAAGTTAAAATTGGGCATTAAAATTACAATTTATTATATTAAATAGGTCAAAAACAAGATAAATATTTCTAATTGGACATTACAATTATAATTCATCAAAATTAATCAGCTAAAAGAGGGTAAAAAAATTCTAATTGGCCATTAACATTCATGTCATTAAATTTCAGTTGGCATTTATGGGGTTAACTGCACCCAGACGGCCGGAGGCCCCCCGTCTGGCTCTGCTCTTTCCCACGCCCCTATAAAAAACTCACGCACACAGAGTTCAGCCTCCCACTTCTCATATGTCTCTTGAAGAGAAAGCATCTCACCAACAGACTCAAACAAGCCCAGACAAGCCCAGACAAGCCCAGACATATTTTATTTTGTGCCCATAGCCTGAAGAAGACCCACAGCGGTCGAAACGTCGCGACTGGGCACTTATTCTTCATTTTGATACACATTTTATTTAGTTTTCTCACTTTTATTTCATTTTATTTCATTTTTATTTCACAAAAAACAAAAAAAAGCATAAAAAAATAAATAACAATTCATTTGATACAGGTTTTGTTTAAAAAGATCGATAGATAGACCAATAAATAAATAAATAGTCTCATAAATACACCACATTAATAAATAACAATAAATAATTAAAAAGGTTAAAACAACAATCATGACCTACGACCAAGAACAATGGACTGAAGTGCGATACGGGAGAAGGCGTGGTAAACGCCCGTATCGCACTAATCAGCAGTATCAAACGGGGTCGTGGGGGACGGGGAACAGGGGGATGGACCGTGCACCTACTGTCTCCTATTCTAGGAGACAGTCCCCCTTTATCCATAAACCTAACCCTAACCCTAACCCCTAACCCTAACCCTAACCCTAACCCCTTGCCCAAAGTCTCACCCTAACCCTAACCGTCGGACATGTGCAGCACCACCTCTGGTCAAAAGCGGTATGACACCCCTTTTTGCAAAGTCGCCCTCAAACG